ACCTACAATTCCAGTTCATTTCAACAAGAGAAAATGGATTAAGTCCAACAGGTGGCTGGGTGGACTTAAACCGAGTTGAGGACCACAGTCACACGGGGGTAGCTCAAAGGTGGTTCCGGATTTGTTTTTCTGATCCCTACTGGACACCTCTCACGGGGGAAGTCAGGGAATTTTCCAACCAGAAGGAGACACTGGGGAAGACCAAAGACACACTGGAGGGACCATGCCTCTCAGCTGGCCTGGTAACGCTTCAGTAATCTGTGGATAAAGGAAGAAAAAATTGGGCATCTGGGCTCAAAAGTGGATGAAATATTGAACAATTCACAAGTAAAAGACTACACTCTCCTCAGCTAACCCTCCATGTCCCAGACTGCCTGCCACCTGATCATCCCTGCTGGTGTCTATTTTTCATTTCCAGTACAATCCTTTTCGCAGAGGTTTTTCTGTGTGCAGCTCCTGATTGCAACAAAGCGGTCTGTGGAAGGCATTATCACTTTTCCGCTAAAAGAAAAATGAAAGTAAACGAGGGGCGATAAGAGTTAGCGTAAGTTAGAGCTGTGTTTCCTGTGTGCGTACGACCTGTCAGGATTAAGCCGGGTTTTTACAGATGCTCTGCTCTTTTCTCTCTTCCTCTCTCTCTTTACAGATAACATAGTCTTTGCTTTCCACCCACAGTTTAATACCTCCATCGTCAGGCCTGGCTGAAAACACAAACAGAAAAGAGCACTGATGATAAGGCGCATACTCTGAAATGTATCTCGCGACGCAGCCTGGTTTACGACGTCAACAAGTGTCCGTTTCTGAGATTTAAGTCAGAGTCTATCGAGATGATCCTTACTGACACTGTCTCTGGAGAAGATTTTGAAATAACAGTAAAGAGAGACGCCGCTTTCTCCTTTTTAACGTCAAAATCTGTCCAATGTGTAGACATCAGTGGACAAAGCCAGACACTGTTTGTGTGAGAGTGCATTTTCCAACCTTAAAACTAGAGCCAGTGCCTTTCTCACAAATCATTGATTGAAAAGAGAAGAAGTGGCAATAGCTTAAAGGTATATGGGAGGATTATCTACTTCCGGGTGGATCATCTATTCTAGACTATTTGTACTTCTGATTGTCAATCTTTCTGGTGTTATGTGAGATACATTTCAATAGGCGTTCCCACTGAGGAAGTCGGTTCTTTCCTAAAATTCGGGGAAAATACTCGTATGCCTAGGAGGTGGGGTATATAACTTTCAAACTACAGAAAATGGAACTAGTTAAAAAATATCCATCTAACTAGCTTTCAAAACCGTTTAGTTCTGAGGCTATTTATTGGCCTCACAACTTTGTCAGACAGGAGAGTAAAAACAAGCTGACCACTCTCACCAAGCCAATCAGCACTCAGCAAAAAGGTAGGGACTCACAGGCCTCTGAAGTACCCAAAAAGATGGGTTTTTGATAAAGATGAAGACAGCATGCCAAGGTCTGATTTGCTTGAAATCTAACTTTTACAAGATCCATTCTGTTGGGACAAACACGATGCATAATTTATGAAAGAAAAACACTGGGGTGATGTGGTCTAAACACTGGAGTGATGTGGTCTAAATACTGGAGTGATGTGGTCTAAACACTGGAGTGATGTGGTCTAAACACTGGGGGGTGATGGGGTCTAAACACTGGAGTGATGTGGTCTAAACACTGGAGTGGTGTGGTCTAAACACTGGAGTGATGTGGTCTAAACACTGGGGTGATGTGGTCTAAACACTGGGGTGATGTGGTCTAAACACTGGAGTGATGTGGTCTAAACACTGGAGTGGTGTGGTCTAAACACTGGAGTGATGTGGTCTAAACACTGGAGTGATGTGGTCTAAACACTGGGGGGTGATGGGGTCTAAACACTGGAGTGGTGTGGTCTAAACACTGGAGTGATGTGGTCTAAACACTGGGGTGATGGGGTCTAAACACTGGGGTGATGTGGTCTAAACACTGGGGTGATGTGGTCTAAACACTGGGGTGATGTGGTCTAAACACTGGGGTGATGTGGTCTAAACACTGGGGTGATGGGGTCTAAACACTGGGGTGATGTGGTCTAAACACTGGGGTGATGGGGTCTAAACACTGGGGTGATGGGGTCTAAACACTGGGGTGATGTGGTCTAAACACTGGGGTGATGTGGTCTAAACACTGGGGTGATGGGGTCTAAACACTGGGGTGATGGGGTCTAAACACTGGGGTGATGGGGTCTAAACACTGGGGTGATGGGGTCTAAACACTGGGGTGATGTGGGTCTGTTTTTAGTCTCATGTATCTTATTCCATTCATGTGTTCTAAAACTTTTTAAAATTCATGTAATAACTTGATATGATATTTTCTTCCCTTCAGCAACTAAGGTGTACTATATCCGCCAGAAAAATGTGAGCAATTATGAATCCATTGAATCCATTGAATTCCGATGGCATAAACAACGTGATAACTGTCTTTCCTTGATCCAGCCTTTACCAATTAAACCGCCATTTGAAAAAAAATATATATATATATTATCTTTGCTTCTAAGTCTTGCTCCCCAAAAGGCCTTTAGCGACGCTGTATCTAAAAACAAATAGCATTGATTTGACTGATGTCTCCAGTTTTAATACAGGCCTCTGCAGCGCCTCGGGACTCCGTGTGATAACTGAGCCCAATCCCCAACATCACAACACTGCCACTCCAGCGAGAATAAGACAAATCCACCTCATTAAATGTTCATTTTCCCTGCGGTTTCCCCCCAATCATTTCTGCGTCTGTGCTCGACATCTGATCAGTCCACTCCTGCGCTCTTTTATGTAGCCGCCATGCCCCCCTCCTGCCCCCTGTCCCACCGCAGACACAGGGGAAATCAGGTGGGTTTAGGGCCGGGTGAAGTGTGCGTGGTGAGAGTGGGTAAGAATGGTCTGGAACACAGCCCCGTTTTCTTTTTTTTTGGGATTGGTGTACAGCCCTTGGGCGAACAAAACACAGTCATTTTTTAAAAACGACGATGGATTCGGAGATTGGAAAGTTCCCTGCTACCGGAGTTTCATTAACATAACTGTCCGTGGGCAGACCTTATTTGGTAGACTTCCGGGCATAGTCGTAATTTCCTCTAAAGTGTTGTAATTTAGAGCTAAGAATTGCTCTAAGCTGGCTAGGCAAGCATGCACAGCTAAACAGAACTATTTCTGAACTGGATTTGAACATTGTCAGAGAATAGGCCTGTCTCACATTTTCAGAAAGACTGTTCCTGATTTTAACTGCACGAATCTGAAAAGGTGTCTCCCCATATTTGGTTCTGACTGTGGGCAAAAGGAAGCCAGTCCCTGTGCTCCTCAGAGTTCAGAGTTCAGTTCATATGGCACTATAGCATAAAACATATACAGTATGTAGAGTGGGGACCTACATTTTAAACCACAAACAATCAAATGTAATTTAATGTAATGCATGTAACAACTTCATCCTCGCTCTTCAAACAGTTTCGCTTCAACAGTAGATTTCACATATTTCTGGCCTCTCTGACATGAGCTTTATTAGACAGAAAAGTGAAAAAGAGGGGGTTGCTCTTATTCAGCCAATCACCTCACAGCCCAAAGTCTCACATACTGACTCACTGGGCTCTCCCGTATATGTATGAAAGATGAAGACAGTCACTGGTCTTATTTGTCGTTTTTTTTTTTTTTTTTTTACTGTAAGAAATGAAAATGTATTGTTAATGACGGGAGAAAGTCCGGTACCCCAGCTTTAATGTAACGTTGGCCTGTCGCTCGTAGCAATCTTTGAAGCGTGTTAATCTCAGCAAACCATTTTAGATTTGCATAACGCATTACTATTAAAACAAGCTGCAAATACAGCGAGCCAAAAGTGTTTAAATGAGCCAGAGGAATTGATTATTCAACCATTTGCTCAAAACTTCAAAAAAACAAACATTTCTAAATAATGCAAAACTCACGAAAAGTTCCAGCTAATGGTTCAATGACAGCTCGTAATGTCTCCAGGAAAAACATAAAACACCACGGTAAATGACCTATTTTGCATACTCAAGTAAAATGCATTGTTTCTTTAGTACAGAATAGAGAAAACCAGGGACTGCAAATGGAAGAAAACAAATGCTTTTGTGCGTCATCCCTGATTAATAAACGCACTAAATCAAGTTTAACTACTGTAAAACCCTCTAATTAGCCCCAATCTTTTGAAATATGATCTTAATTAGCACAATATACCACAAAACACCCGCAAAGAAGGATGAAAGAAATATTTTATACTATTTCAAGAAGAAAGACTGCATTGCACTTGTGACTACACTGCAAAAAGTAACAATTCCACAACTTTGCCCAAATCTAACTTAATTTGAGCTGACTACCTTAAAAAAAGATTTGCCAAAGGGACAAGCAAATGTATATTGTTTTAACAAGATACAAGAAATGTCTCCTTTGGAATAAGAAAGTAAAGCAAAAGTAACATTTCTTGAAATAAGAGTAAATGGCTTTGTTCCACACTGGAAAAACTCCCTTGAAAAAAATAAGAAAAACTTCTAATGAAAACACGTACAAAACTGCTTAAAATAAGAACAATTAATGTGCCAATAGAATAAGAAGATATGACTTGACTAATAAGAAAATAATACTCGCCCCAAATGACTTGATTCCAGTACAAAAAGTATCATTATCAAAAAACTAGTAAAACATTACAAACTAAATTCAAGCAACAAAAAAAACTTTAAAAAATAAGCCATATTGATGTTAATTTTCGTAAATTAATCTTACCAAGGTTTTTTTTTTTTAGTGCATTGGCTATATTTGTTGGAACGTATTCAAATGTGGGTAAAAACCACTCGAATCAATCAATTATTACCAGATACTTTATAATGTGTTTGCAGTGTACACGACTGCATGGCGTACAGTGCGAGAGGTAGAACATGCAAACGTTATGGCTGTGCTAATGAGACTGTAGAGAGCAGACGGTCAATGCCACAGCTCGGCTCAGATCCATCCACGTTTGACACGTGACATTTACAACGTGGATCGTCCGTCACCGGAGACCACAGGGACCACAGAGAGCACAGGGACCACCAGAGAGACCACAGGGACCACAGGGACCACAGGGACCACCAGAGAGACCACAGGGACCACCAGAGAGACCACAGGGACCACCAGAGGAACCACGGGGACCATCAGAGAGACCACAGAGACCACATAGACCACCAGAGAGACCACAGGGACCACCAGAGAGACCACAGGGACCACAGAGAGCACAGGGACCACCAGAGAGACCACAGGGACCACCAGAGGAACCACAGGAACCACCAGAAAGACCACAGAGACCACAGGGACCACAGAGAGCACAGGGACCACCAGAGAGACCACAGGGACCACAGAGAGCACAGGGACCACCAGAGAGACCACAGGGACCACCAGAGAGACCACAGGGACCACCAGAGAGACCACAGAGACCACCAAAGAGACCACAGGGACCACAGAGACCACAGGGACCACCAGAGAGACCACAGGGACCACCAGAGAGACCACAGAGACCACAGGGACCACCAGAGAGACCACAGGGACCACCAGAGGAACCACAGGGACCACCAGAGAGACCACAGGGACACTTTGAGCTGAGAGAGTTGACTGTGGTTCTCTCTTTTTCACTTTTCTGTCTGATAAAAGCTGATCTAAAAATATATATATAATAAGTACATGAATAAAAGATGGGAAAAAATGTATTATGTTTATTTGTTATTATCATTATTTTTATGTGACTTTTCTTTGGCATTATAAGTGCTTCCTGGTTATGTTTTTGAATTATGACATTTTGACCAATCAAACTCTAAAGGCAAAAAAAAAACTAAAAAAGAAAGTATAAAAAAAAGAAAAAAAGCTGATTTAAACAAGTGACAGATGCCAAAACTCTGATTGACGGAAACAGTTTTTTTGAGAAAGGAACTAGATAAAAGATTGCGTTACATTGTTGTGATTGTGTGGGATTTTTACTACAGTGTGGTTTTAAAATTAGGTCCCCCAGCTTTACTTGAACCTAACAAAGGCTGTGACACCATCGGCTGCTTGTCTGGAGGATTTTGGCATCACGTTTATAAGAGAACGGGTAAAGTAAAACCATATTCATGAGAGTTCCCAAAGGTCGTGGGGACAAAATGATTGAAAAGCAAGAAATGACCCCAATTTGCGCACACCGGCTCGAGAACATTGCCGGCTCTTTCTCGTTTCATCAGCACCTGGAGAGAAATTTAAACGCAACTTGACAATATATAACACATAATGCTTAGATTTTGTAATTTACCGCGGAAAAGATATTGCTGCAGCACAAAAAATGCAAGGAAGCAGTTCTTCTTGGGCATTAATCCCATTCCGACAAAATTATGTGAAATTCCCATGTGAGGGTGTGTGCATGTGTGCATGTGTGTGTGTGTGTGTGTGTGTGTGTGTGTGTGTGTGTGTGTGTGTGTGTGTGTGTGTGTGTGTGTGTGTGTGTGTGTGTGTGTGTGTGTGTGTGTGTGTGTGTGCGTGCGCGTTTTTGTGTGTTCAAGTCTAAGTTTATTAAGAAAAGCCCTTGTTTTCCAGCGGGTCCTAAACATAAATACGTACATACATAACAATTTACAGAGCATTAAGGATACGTGAGTAAGTTAGTGATCTTTATTTATATAGCGCATTTTACAGACCAAGATCACCCAAAGCGCTTTACAATGTTCAGAAATCAGATATTGTTGCAATCACTCCACACACGGTGATGACAGGAGCGAGACGCCAAAACGCTGGCGCACCAAAGCCCCAAATACCATCCAGACACTCACTCACTTACATGTTTTTAAGGAAACCGTAGCACCTGGAGGAAACCTATGCAGACAAGGGGACAACATGCAAACTCCACTCAGAAAGGCCCTGTTCCGACCGGGATTCGAACCCAGGAGCATCTTGCTTAGAAGCGAGAGTGCAATCCACTCAGCTACCATGCCGCAGAAGTACAGTAAGTAAAAGATAATTAAATAAACACACAAAAATACATACAAATATAATAATAATATAGTAAATGCTCATTCGCACCCCACTCCTCCCCTCTGCTTACATGTGTGTGTGTGAATGATTATCTACGCATTAGATCTCCGGAAAGGCAATCCCTACTTACACTGCATCGATGCATGTTTCTCAAAGCTATCTTGGACCAAAAATCACACTTGAATTTGATGAACCGTGCAAGATAAAAGAAACGGAAAACAAGCAGAAGCCTTTGCATATAGAATCAAATTAGCATAGCGCTGTCCATTATGACAACAAACCTATAATCTTTAATCTGTATAATCCATGCAGTGACCACTTCAGACCGGGCCACCCCACAACCGCTACTGATTTACGGTGCTCTTGACCCGGCCATAACTTAAAACCTGTAGGTCACTAAAATCCCTTGCGTCATTATTCTCACCACATTTAAGACAAATAGGGTTTAAGGATTATTTATGGCCTTTCTAGCCCTTCATGGTTCCCAGTTCCTCCACCACTGCTAGTAAATGTCCAGTTTATGTGACACAGGACTCCCGGGACCATGCTCCGTCTAATCCACACCAACTAGAGCTTGTAAGGTCTCTGCCTGTGGCTCGAAGGCTGTCCACTGACTATAATTAGCTTTTTGTGAGATGCTCCGTCTGCTAAAAGGCCTGGCTCCTGGCTGCTTCTGGCTAGATCTGCTCCTGCTAAAGGCTGTATTTCATTTTTTTTTTTACCCCGGTCGCTCACATGTCTCGCTCGTATACGCGTGAAAGAGCCGTAATCGCTCCACGTCGACTGTCAAAGCGTCGCGTTTGTAATTTGAGTAGTTTTAAAAGCATTGACAGCAGCTGTGGCTCTGCATGAGGTAAAAGTCCCGCTCCAACGATTTATGGATTTACCTATGCGCGTACACAGGAATGGGTTTTACATAAAAAGGGGGAGATGTAAAATGCACAAATGCAGTTGTTGGTGCAGATGTGGAAAATCTGAGAGAATGTCAAGATTTTACAGTCACTATAAAATCTAGAAACAAAATTATTTTCAGATTTTCACTTTTTCTTATCCTCTCTCCTTGGGCCTGTTTGTCTCACTATCACTGCAGAAGGATGCTGAGTTCTTCTGAGTGGCATCTTATTCTATTTAAACTATTCTAAATGATTTGTGATTGCTAATTTGTTGCTAATATTACATGTATTACCAAGTCCCTAATGATACTATTTGCATTTTGATGGACGCACAATACATACAGTGTATTGATAATTGTGCTCATGTATAGATGGATATTCGTGCACAGTGGCAGAGTGGTTAGTCTCTGAACTTCACAGCGAGAAGGTCCTGTGTTTAATTCCTCGTATGGTCCTTTCTGTGTGGAGTTTGCATGTTCTCCCCATGTCTGCCTACTGTAGGTTTACTCCGGGTTACAAAGGTGTGCATGGATGATACAGTGTGTGGTATCCCGCTTCTGTTTGTGCGGAGAGAATGGACATTACCGGTGCAACAAGAGTGGTAAAGTGCTTTGTGTGACCTTGCTATATAGATCAAATGTGCCATATAAATAAATGTTTATAAAATGTTACTTCCTAAAAACAGGGGTTAAACATGTATTCTTTTGACTTTAGAATAACAAGGTTTCAAAAGAACAATACACTCCTAATAGTGTATTGTTTAAACGAAAAAAATGATTGTGCAATTAACGCAAATGTTGGTGTTTAGTGGCTGTTTACAATGGTTATGTTTTCTAAAAAGGTTGCAAGAAGAGTTATGGACAATGGAATTACTTTATAAAGTACAGTTAATTTTGAAACTCTCAGTCACTGTTTATGTTTTATAAATCTTCAAAACACAACGGCCTCACCAGCAGCACGAAGAAGATTCTGATGAAAGTTGTATGAAATCATAAATCTAAAAACTGTAGATCATAGAGAAAAAGTGTTGGGGAAAGCCTTACACCAGGGATGTCCAAACTTTTTAGTAGAAGGGCCACTTTAGTTCACCAGACTACAGGCTTTGGGCTTTAACATTGATATGCTCCAGTGCCAGCTCTCTGTTTGTTCAAAACACTGAATGCTGTCATCAGATTTTATCAATGAGTTAAAAAAGCTATACCCGATCTTTTTTAAGGAGTTCATAAAAATGCTTATTACTACATAGAAATTGCATTAAAATCCGTAATTTGATTGAAAACTTGAGCTTATTGATTCAGCTTGTATATGAATTCAGGCCGTATAAAAGTGCTGAGTAGAGACTTAGCATGACGCCCGTTCTCCTCCAATCACAGAACGAGGCTGCGTCCTCTAGCCTCTACAGCGCTGCTAAACACAGTAGCATGTTAGCATAAGTGGCTATAACTCCTCTGGCTGTAACTGTAGACACAGCAAAACAGCCCAAACGACACAACAGTGAGGGAGAGAAGAGGGAACTAAAGCGAAAAAATGATCAAAGAAGAAATCAAGCCAGGATGAACATAGCTAGCTTACATCGTATCCTCCGGAGAGACAGTCTATGGGAGAGACATATGTATGCAAAACTAGCGGTAATCTTTCACTTATATATTTTGTTAGCAGTGCGTTGCTTTTGTACCATTTCACCAGTGATTGTTGTACAGATTACGAGAAGATACGCTCATGCTAATGTTTGCATATAGATCGCAAATAAAACTAGGTGGCTCCATGGGATGAGAGCGTAGGGGAAATGAGAGACCTGTGAGCGAGTTGGGGGGCGGGGCTAAACATTCAAACCTTGCAGAAACGGGTATAGCTCCTTTAAGTACAAGATCCATTTTTAAATGTGATGAATGTTCTTATTACTTCTGTACAGAGCAGTTTTATAGGCACACTTCTGAACTCTGGAGGCATTAAAGAAAGTGCCTTTAGAATTTTGTAAATAGTGTATGTCTGTGTCTCTTGTTTGTCTCTAAATGTTTTGTGTTATATGGATCTGTATTAAAGATGCAATACAATAACAAATATATCTGTCAAATGGACTCACAAAGTTGAATGGGAAGCTGAAGCTGTGTTGCCATTAGACAGAATCTAATCTACTGTATGTATGTGTTGCATTTTTTTCAAAGCCAGTCTCTGCTGAATACACATTTACACACTTGTTTACGATCATTTTTGGTGTATTCAAACAGCCGTCCTCCCTCGCCGCTCCTTTGACACAAGAGAACACCATAACCTAGTTCTCATCTTCAGTTTTGTCGACTTATAAAAACAACATTCTATCCAAAAGACTCGTATCCTGGCTGTAAACCCTCATTGTTCTGGCTTCTCTGATTGTATTTCGATTTCTCCGCCTGCCTTTGATATTGACTGAACCTGCCGTCGTCCCTTTTATAGAAAAATGCGAAAGCTGTATACGTTCGCCGTAATGAATTCTGTAAAGTGCTGAGTTGGGTGGCTGTTTTAATGCTGAAACGTGCTCATGTTAGAGTCACACTAAATCTCGGACCGTAAAAATGAAATGAAAAATGCACCTTAGCCGGAGCCGCCGTCGCCACAGCAGCAGCAGCAGCAGCAGCAGCAGCAGCAGCAATGAATCATGGGGTGACTTGTTTTTTTGCATCCTAATAACGGCTATATTTGGAACGGCCTTTTGTTACATGGGAAAGAAAAATTAACTGGTTTTCCATTATTCTGCTCTGAGAAAGAAATAACTAATTTGCAGCTTTGCGTGTGTTTCACCGGAGCTGGAGTGGTTTTGGGTTTTTAATGGAGGAAGGTGATCAAAATATTATGTTATATAGTTGTTTATTAGGACCAGCCTTGTAACATTTTATAATTGTAGAAAGCAAAGCCATCAAGAAAAAACATACAATAGGCTATTTGTGATTTTTTGTGTGTATTGTAAGAAACCAATAAGCAATAGAAAGAAACTTTTGTAGTTAAAATGGGTTAAGATGGGAAGTATAAATAAGAATGTATATGAGGACAAAACTAAGCAGCAAAGAATTATGACAAAAACTGGTTCTTAGATAGTTTTGTGATGACATCATACACCATGAGGTAGGGAACCTAAGGGTACCTCACGATACGATACGATACACAATACAAAGCTCACGATAACGATAATATCACGATAACAATATTACGATAACGATTTTATCACGATACGACGATTATTGATATATTGGTCAGAAATATGCAATTTGCCAATTTATGGCATAAATAAAAGAAAAAATACTCTTTATTTCATGGTTAATAGAATGGAGATGCGTAATGTAGCCATATATTAAGTATTGATACCAATTCAAAAAAAAAAAAATTTATATCGATACTTGGCAAATGCATATCGATAATCGAATCGCGGGAGAAAGTATCGCGATATATCGAAAAATCGATATATCGTCACACCCCTACTATGA